CAGCGGTGTGAGTTTTTCTGACTATGTTCAAGTGGATGAAGATGTTGCTGTTTCAAGATCCCTAACCGATGGGGAAAATTTTATCTGCGACAGATACGAATGCAAAGAGCAACGATGAAGTTTAAGACGATACAGCAGAACCTTTGGCAATGGTGTCAGTTAAGGTAGAAAGAGCCTCATTGGATAACTTACAAAGCTTTTGTCAACAAAACGAAATTGATGAAACAGCATATCAGGCACTTTTTGTTATTGAAAAGTCTGAGAAGAAATAAAATAAAAACCCTTGATAATTCGAAGTTTTATTAATTTTCTTTTAAAATAATTCGAAATATTTTAAGACTCCCTTGAATTTCGAAATAACGAGAGTCAACTGTATATTATTTCTTTGAATACAAAGTTATTTATATTCACAAGAACGCACTACAGCGTCCCCAATCACTAGTGCTCTAGTGAGGGAGAGTTTAACTGGCGCCCGAGCAGGGACCCACATTCTTCACGGAAATAAAGGGAAATGGTGACGTGTCAATAATTATACTAAAATAACTTATTAGAAAAGCAAGTACAAATTAATTGTTCCAATCCAATTGGGCAATTGTTGGGATAATTACGAAGAACTTTTGTGATTTGCAAAGTAATGGGGTGAAAGTCCTTGCCATAACATAATACTGTGAGGAGCAATATAGGTATGCACGTATGAATGTATATGCACGTATGTATTTGCTGTGCGTTTATATGCATATACGTGCACATACATGTTGCTCACACAGCGACGCGAGTACTGTAGGTCCGACTATAGTCGGCCTCTTTCGCTCCTACAGAAACAGCAATGGACTCGCATCGCACACACGACGATCATCGAGGACCGTTAGCCGAGGTGCCGTTCGGGTCGCAGGGCACCAACGGCAACAAATAAAGAGGCAACCAGCATCGTCAGCAACACCAAAAAGCACCAAAAGCGAGTAAGTTCATAGCTGAGTAAGTTCATGTAGCCGTGCGTAAGAGAAGTGTAGTGAGTGAAACAAGCTAGTGTTTGCTGAAAGCGAGTGGAATAGTAGGAGAGATTAGTATAGTCGTGCGAACTGCCGGAATTATAGATCCAGATCCTGGCGTTTCCGAATCGCTCAAGTGAAACTAGCGTGTCTTAACACAACACTCTCCCAGCCGGAGTTCGCTGAATCAGCACTTAGCAGGCGTACCGTGCTTTTGCAGCGAATCAGCATATAAGCTATACTTAAGTTAAGTGTAAAATTTATATAAGAACCCTCAAGAAAACTGTACGTTTCTAAATCATAACTCACAAGTGACTAATTAATATCGGAGTGGCTTCAACAAATGAATTTGTCGGCACGAATCCACAGTCAGCTGAAATTAGCCCACCTTAGACTCGGGATAAACCGAAGGTTCATTATAATACAATAAATAGTAACATAATTTCTAGCAAGTGTTGCTGCACTAGAGAATTCTATAACAGAAAAGAAATCGTGGCTAAATAGTGGTATTGGCAATACCTAGGTTCAAATCCGTGCCGAGACGATTCTAAAACGAAA